TTTTGATGATTTTGAACTGTCTGATAGGCTGGTCAGAAGCCTCACATGCCAAGGAGGATAGGAAAATAGTGTAAAAGTCCTAATGATGAGGTGACCTTGGAAGCAACTTCATGAGCAAGGAGCAAGAGAGGACTACTACTTAATGACCACAAAGTGCACATTTTGGTATCTGGCACACTTTAGGAAGTCCCACTAGTCGTGTTCCTGGGAATAGAAAATCTGTTCCAAAACCCTCAGTAACTGTTACCTGTGTATCAAGGGCTGTTAATCTCATCAAGTCTAAAACTGTACACAGAGTGTTTCTAAGAAACCTAAAGTGCTTCTCATATCTGTCCCATCCTAAAACTGTGTCGTTGTTTAGGACTGATACTCCTGAATTTAGTGCTGCCACTGAAAATCTTCCAACCATGTTCTGTTTGCTTGCTCCCCTTCTCCTCTCCGACCTCCCCTGCAGCTTGAGAGAAGAATTGGAAGCACAAAGCATAAAGATCACAGACTGAGATAAGAACAATTAACTTGAAACAGTAATGAGACAACCCTACCATGCTGACCCAGAAGTGAGCCCTCCCCTCATCCCTGGAAAATGACATGATGTGGTAACAAATAACCTCCAGGTCCTGGCCTTCCTGTCTCCTCACTACTGCTAAAATTAACCCTCCTGGCCAGAACCAGAACGCCTTGTTTTTTCCTTTCAGCAGGATGAAATCTCTTTGGGAACCACCCAATACCAATGAAGGAAATTGGTTTACAAGACCTATTTCCTGTTGAAGAAAGCAGGACTTTCTTCAACAGACTCACAAGGTCTAAAAGCAGCACAGCTCAACAGGGCAATTAATTTTTCCTCTTTTCGCAGTTCCCCCATGCCAGTAAGGCACCACACACATATAAGAAATTCTTTTAGCTTTGAAGGTGATGGTTCATATCAGGTTTTCTGCTATCAAAGATTGAAAGTTTACTAATTTAATTTTCTGTAATAAATGTAATAAGATGAACAGTTCTAAATAGAAGGATGAATTCTGTATATTATGATTTTTTTTAAAAAAAGGAGCCTTAGTTTATGGTTCTAATACAGCACAACTTCATTTCCTGTGTCTTTTCATTTTGCATTTCTTCCTCACTGTTTTCAAGCTCTTCCTTAAGTAATTGTACAAGTTCACATATATTTTCAAATCTATGTCCCTAATTTTCACCAGCTCATGTACTGGTTCTTAAATTTGCTCTTTCCTTATTTTATGTGTCAACCTGCAATAAATTATAGAAAGTATATAAGGCATGCCTTTTTCTATTGTTATGTTCTCTCACAAGCAAAGTATCAACATCAAGTTAATTTCAAATAAAACTGCATTTGTTTTAATTAATGTCAGAGACACAAAATACACTGTTCAAATATCTTCATATCAGATAACAGACAGACGTACATTTTCTTTTTAAAATTACATCAACATTAAGCTTAGAGTAATAGCACATTACTTCCTAAGCACTAATCAAAATCACTCTGGAATATATGAAGCAAATAATCACTGCTGAGCTCTTGTTAATGCCAAGGACTTCTCTCAGAATCTCTGATTTTGTTCAGTAATGAGTGACTCGACAGTAATTGACACTGCAGGAACCAGAACTAATACTTAATACCTTGCATTTTTATTTTGATTTATAGTTTGGTGTGAAAACTTGAAAAGGAAAAAAAAAAGGCATAAAATAATCTAACTATATATAGAAACTTACATTATCTCTGATTAAACTGTGCAGTGTGTTAACTTTATAATTTAAACTGAAAATAGAATGTGTTACCTCTGAGGAGAAAGTGTTCTGGTTCATTCCAAAGCTGTATAGTTTGCCTTCCAAAATATTTCTTATGGCGTCCAAAGCTAGAGAGTTATGTACTTGCAGAGGTATTTTATTATTTATCTGTACTCTAAAGATATACTGGCAATATATGTATCTTTATCAAATGAGTCTAAGAGCTTTGGCCACAAAATATGGCCATCTGAACTGAGAAATCCATCAAAATGCTACTAGAACTCCAAAGTAAATGGAGCTGATGTTTTGATGACTGCACCTGAGATAAGTCAGTTTAATATAATGTATGTGATTACGTTTTAAATGCTACAATTTTTGGTTTATAGAAATAGTTAAAATTATTTATAGAAATGCCCTAAAACAAATAACCAAATGTCTATGCATTTTTTTTCTTTTATATATGACACCACTGTCTAATAAGAGTGGACAACAATTATATCAGAGGCTGTGTGAGAACGTTTTGTGGGAAATGACATCAGTAATGGATATTCCTCCCAGCTGTCTGCACACAGCCATTCTGGAAAATACAAGTATGTCAAAAATCATGTAACCAGTAGAGAACATGGGAGAGCCAGGAAAAAAGATCTTACAGTCTCATGAAACACAACTAGGCTAAAGTTTGGTAAAGCTCAAGTAAATCACTGCGGCTTGAAATATTCTCCATACACTGTAACATCTATCAGAGAGCACCCATTTTCTCTAGCTGGCAGAAAGGATCAAACTGCCAGGAGCTGATGCCCTTGTTTTTCCTGAAATGAGGGGCCTGGAAGGGTGTCCCTATGCATATATACTCAATAGCTCACAATGCTTCTTGTACAAATTCAGGCAAGTCACCAGCCTCTGAAGCCTTTTTTTTTCCTGAGACCAATCTACATCTTTTCCTCAGCCGGAGATTGAATGCAGCCTGACAGAGGCATTTTCAAAATCTTTGTATATATCAAGCAGGATTTAATTTTAATTTTCTGTCTTATAAACTATAAGAGACAAGAAGTAGAAATAGAAATAGATAGAATTTTCTGTAATAGGACAAAGTAATATCATGTTCTTACATTTATTGAAGGAAATAATTCTCCAACAGCCTGACTATAAATTGCATGACTAGAATTTCATGGCCTAATAGAACTGAAATGGGCACAGTGCCTTTTCTATATGCAAATGGTATAAACCATTACCATTTGCTTCCACAGAATGCAATAAGGGAAATAGTTAGTGACTAAGAGCTTCCATAACCAGAAACCGTTACATCAACTTATTCCTGGAAGTTCCCACTTCAGGAGAGAACATAGGAAAATAATTCAAGGAATAGGCTGAGTTTATACTTTCTAGTGATTAGGGAACTAGCTGGAAGAAACCTGGCTTCCAAGCACTGCTTCAAAAAGTAGTTGTAAATTAACTTTAAGTGCAAATACAGAAGCAGTTCTGGGACCAGAGTCCGGAAAGGTAGCACAGCTATATGAGAAGAAACAGAGATAACACAAAGTATCTAAAAGCAAGCCTATTAAAAGAATAAATCAAAATCACAGAATATGCTGAGTTGAAAGAAACATACAAGGATCATCAAGTCCAATTCCTGGCCCTGCACAGGAAACCCCAAGAATTGCACCATATGTCAGAGAGCATTGTCCAAACACTTCTTGAGCTCTGTCTGGCTTGGTGCTGTGACTACTTCCCTGGGGAGCCTGTTCCAGTGTAAAGCTACCACCCAGGTGAAAAACCTTCTCCTGATATCCAACTAAAACTCCCCTGACACAGCTTTAGGTAATTTCCTTGGGTCACCTGTCCCTGTATACCATCGAGATCAGTGCCTGCCCCTCCTCTTCCCCTCACAAGAAATTTGTAACCGCAATGAGGTCTCCCCTAGGTCTCCTCTCCAGGCTGAACAGACCAAGTGACCTCAGCTGCTCCTCATACAGCTTCCTCTCAAGGGCCAGCACCATCTCCATTGCCCTCCTTTGGACACTCTTTAACAGTTTTATATCTTTCTTACATTGCGGTACCCAAAACTGCTCCTGCACTCAAGGTGAGGCTGCCCGAGCTCAGAGCAGAGAGGTAAAATGCCCTCCCTTGCCCAGCTGGCCATGCTGTGCCTGATGCACCCAGGACAGGGTTGGCCCTCCTGGCTGCCAGGGCACTGCTGACTCGTGTTCAACCTGCCAGTGACCAGGACCCACAGGTCTCTTCCACAGCGCTGCTCTCCAGCATCTCATTCCCCAGTCCGTACGCCTGTGTTGGTTGTGAGCACTTGATGGATAATTCAGCCTAGCTTGTCTCTTCTCAGACCACCACTTGCCCTACATACCTAATGCTACCAGTTTACATAGGTTCCATCTTCCAGTAAGATATGGTGACTTAGAAGAGCTCCCATTTCCTCAGTTCAGGCCAGGCACAGCAGGGAAAGAAACTGAGAGAAATTTGCCTGGAATACTGCCTGCCCTGTGCTTGCTTAAGAACACAGTGGTCCTAGAAATTCCTAATGCCAAGCCATTATTGTGGGAGGGGGTGTGGCTGGTGACCTCCCTGCCTTGCCATGGGAGGCCACAGATGTGTAGTTTTCCCGCCTCCCAAGTTGTCTGTTATCTGTTCTCCCTTCCCCCAGTTTATGTCAATCATTTTGTACTCCTTCCCTTTGTTCTGGAAAGTTCTAAGTTCTTTGTACCCCCATTGGTTCCTCCCTCGAAACCACTCCTTCCCTCTATCCCAGTTGGCCGTTGCCATGCCACTCTCCGTTGACTCCACCCTCATACCCTCACCCGGTTGGATGCTCTACCCCTTGACCCTCCTCCCCAGTAACTGTTATATACCCTGCCCCGCCCTGGTTCGGGGCTCTCAGAGCTGGCTCGCCCTCTGAGTGGTTGCTTCCCTTCACCCTCCTCGCCTTCCCTCGATAAACCCTCGGAATAAAGCCGCCTGAGAGACTCCCGCCTCGTGGAAGATTCTCTTCATTACCACCAAAGCGTGCCCGAAGTCCCCGACTCAGTCGGAGCGGACCGAGTCACGCTACAACTGGCGCCCGAACACGCTGACCCCTGCACGGAGTCAAGCGGAGAGCGTCTCCTCGACAGCTTCGACTCCGTGAGCCGGCTGCCCGAGGAATTCAAGCGCCGTTCGGACGTGGTTCCACGGACGACGGTGCTTCGTTTTCTGAAGACCCTTCGCCTCGTGGGCTGCGGACACCCGGAGGAGCAGGAACAGCAGCTTCGCGGAAGCTCCCTCGCACTCCGGACCTGCAGCGCTTCCACGCCCCTTTGAGGCCATCTTCTTTTCGACGGGCGTCCTTTGTGGTGAGTTTTTCGTGCCCCGTCTGGCACCTGACCCCGTCTCTTTTCTTTTCTGTTCTCCTTTGCTTCTTTGGGGAATTTTAAGCCGTTTTGACATAATGGGCAACCGTATGTCTCCGGCTCGGCGGGATTTCTATTCCCATGTTAAGTCATCCCTCGTTTTGGGAAATATTTCTTTTAACAAAAGGGATTTAAAAGCCTTAATTAACTTAATTTTTGACCACCTTCCTGACACTGCGCAGGAAGATTTTAACTCGGTTCAGTTTTGGGGAAAAGTTGGGCGTTTATTATACGATTTACAAGTTAAGGGGAATTTTAAAGTGGGACGTTTCTTTCCTTTATTTCATTCTATTTTTACGTTATTTAAACAAAAACGGGAGAGTTGGGCCCCCAGTTTTCCTAACCCTCATTCCGTCCCCCCCACTCCTAACCCCTTTTCCCCTAAGGGTGGGTCGGGCGGCAGACCCTGCCAAAGTCCGGCACAGGGTTGCCACCGTCTCCCTGCTGCTCCCCGTCCCATCCTGTCCTCTTTTCGACCTGGGACTGGCCACCCCAGTTCGACCCTTTCCTCGCCCCAAGACCCTCAGACTCCTGTTCCCAGTTTAAAACCCTGCTGTTCTATTCCAAATCTGTGCCAGCATCCACCTCAAAATGGCGCCGGCCGCATGGCCGAGCTGGCATCAGAAGCGCCACAAAATGGCGTCCCAGCTCCTCCCTACTCCCCTCGGGTTCCCGCCATTTCCCCATTGACCCCGCCTCCGTCGAGTGCCGCCCCTGCGTCGGGTCCCGCCCCATCTGATGCGTCGATGGTGTCATCGTCGGGACCCGCCCCTTCCGTCCCCTTGACCGCGCCCCTGGGTGGGCCCCCGGTGGGAGGGACCGGCCTACAGGAAGGCCACCCCCCTGTGGGAGGGAACCCCCTGCCGGAAGGCTCCGCCCCGGGAGGTGGGCCTAGTCCCGCCTCCCTCTCTCCAGCCACTTCCGGTTCCCACGCTACCGGAACCGGAAGTCGGCCCGGCCGGAAGCAGGCCATCTTGGCCTGCAGGGCTCCACGCCACCGGAGCCCAACGGTCAGGGAGAGGTTCAAGGCCCTCACCCGTCCTGCCTCATCCTCCGAAGAGGATGAGGACAGGGACAGCCCCCGGCCCACACCTAGGTCGGGAGGCGGATGGGCTAAGATACGGGCAGCGGCCATTAAGGACGGGGACTTAGACCTGGCCCGTGACCTTGGGCCTTTTGCGGCACCGGTGGTAAGGGAGAGGGGAAAGCGGCCCCGGTGGGAACAGGTACCATATGCTGAGGTGAAGGAGCTGAGGAAAGCGGCAAAAGACTATGGCCGCGAATCGCCATTCTTTAAAAATGTATTGGACCTCACCTTTTCTGGACGGACATTGGTCCAGCATGATATCAAATACATTGCCAAGTCCCTGTTGTCCCCCACGGAACTCCTGCTTTGGGAGGTTCAGTGGAAAAAGCTACTGAAACCTCTCATTATAAAGCACAACCTAGCAGAGACTCTGGGCACAGGCGACGAGGTAATGGAGGCTATTGCGGGAGATGGAGAATTCGGCCAGCCTGAGGACCAGATCCAGTTACCAATACCTCTCCTCGATGACATCAGAGAGGCTGGCCGTGCCGCGCTGCTGAAAATCCCGGACGGCAGAACTCCCTCCCAAAGTTTTTCAACTATTCTCCAAGGACCGGACGAGTCATTCATCAAATTTGTTGACCGCCTCAGAGAGGCCATAGAGAAGCAGATAGAGCACCCTGCGGCGAGGGAAGAGCTCCTCCGAAAGATGGCAGTGACCAACGCCTCTGCGGAAACAAAGAAGATCTTGAGGGCGTTACCGCAGGACCCCGAGCCCACCATCACCCAGATGGTGGAGGCGTGCGTCAAGGCAACATCCACCGAGGTAACGGTCGCCATGGCAGTGAGTAAAGGGGTGGGGGAGGCAATGTTAAACATGAACACTGTGCGCTGCTTCGGGTGTGGCCAGATGGGCCACATACAAGCGAACTGTCCACACTGGCCCCCGGAGCAGTTTTACAACCCGTATATGCCTTCCCCAAGACCCCCACCCAGGAACTCTTTCCCGCCATACCAGCCGGCGGGAAACGGGCCGCGGAGCGCGAGGAGGGGCCGCGTGAGGACAACAAATGGCCCTTCTCAGCGCCCGAGCCTCCCTACTATCCGGGAGGACCAATGGCCCAGGGGACAGTTTCGGAGGATTGGCGGAGCACCGACGACGGACTTCGCCTCCTCCGAAGAACGGCCAACTTAGATCCCGGCCGCCGCCGGGTCCTCAAGAGCTCCATGACTGTCACTTTCCAGGATGAGGACCTGGTGAGAATCCCCGCGGGGTTCCTGGAGCCCCCTCACTGCCAGGGCGAAGCGACCGTCCTCATCGTCGGAGACGCAAGGCACACACCCGACAGGATTTCCATCATCCCTGAAGTGGTGTGTGTCCCACCGGGGTCCGAGGTAACGGTCTCGGTCACCTGCCATGAGCCCCCCTACACCTTGGGCAGAGGACTCCCCTTCGCCCTGCTCTATCTGCTGGACTCAAACGACCTCTCTGGACGGGACTCAGAACAAGACATTCATGTGTTTCTTACCCAAAATGTGACTAAAGAAAGACCTATAATCCGGACTGTGCTTTCTTTGCAGGGAAAGTCGGTGGCGATGAACCTAATGGCAGACACTGGGGCGGATGTCACCATCATTCCCAGGTCAAAGTGGCCCCGCGACTGGGAGTTGGTGCCCCCTTGTGGCACAATCTCCGGAGTGGGCGGAGCTGTCAACTCCATGCGCAGCTGACGCTTGGTAAGTGTGGAGGGACCTGAGGGACAGATAGCCACAATTCGACCTTTTGTTGTGTCATCCAATATCATGCTATTAGGCAGGGACGTATTGTCCCAGTGGGGTGCCCGCCTTGACATCCCTAGCCCTGCGTGGGATTTTTAGTATGGGCCACTGCGGAGCGCACCTCCCCACCGTTGAATTGGAAGACCGATGTTCCGGTGTGGGTGGATCAGTGGCCCCTTGTGGAGGAGAAATTAAAGGCGCTCAACGAACTTGTTGAGGAGCAGGTGCGCCTTGGGCATTTAATACCCTCCACCAGCCCTTGGAACACCCCTGTCTTTGTAATTAAAAAACCAGGCAAAGACAAGTGGCGCCTGCTCCAAGACCTCCGCAGGGTAAATGATGTCATTGAAGACATGGGCCCCCTCCAGCCTGGGCTTCCCTCACCCTCCATGCTTCCCCGGGATTGGCAGCTCGCAGTCATTGACATCAAGGACTGCTTTTTTAACATCCCCTTATATCCTGGAGATGCCCCCAGGTTCGCCTTTTCCGTACCATCAATCAATCGGGCGGAACCTTATAAAAGGTATCAATGGACCACCTTGCCCCAGGGAATGAAAAATTCTCCAGTGCTCTGCCAAACCTTTGTAGCACAGGTTCTTTCGCCAGTCCGCCGACTTTTCCCTGAAGCCATCATCCTACATTACATGGACGACGTCCTTGTCTGCGCGGAGACGACCACCTACCTCCGCGCAGCACTTAATAAGACAATAAAAGCCATCAAGGATGCGGGCTTCCAGATTGCGGAGGAGAAGATCCAGCTCTCCGCCCCATGGAAGTATTTGGGCATCACCATCACGGGAAGGACCGTCGCGCCCCAGTCTGTGACCATCAAAGACGACCCACGGACCCTGCGGGATCTGCAGCAGATCTGCGGCACCATCACGTGGATCCGACCTCTCCTGGGACTCACCACGGAGGAACTGTCGCCCCTCTTCGAACTCCTGCGAGGAGACGGCGACCTGGCTTCTCCACGCGAGCTGACACCTGCCGCGAAGGGAGCCCTGGAGAGAGTTGCGGAGGCCATCAGATCCCGCCAGGCACACCGTGTGGACCGGGTCCTTCCTATTACCCTTGCCATCTTGGGTAAGTGCCCAAACTTCCATGGGTTGCTGTTTCAGTGGGATGGTGGGCGTAAGGACCCACTCCTTATCATCGAGTGGCTGTTCCTTCCGCACCAGCCCCCAAAGACCATCTCCACACCCGCTGAATTGATGGCCAAACTCATCATTAAAGGCAGGCAACGCCTCCGGACCCTCGCAGGGTGCGATCCGGCGTGCGTTTATGTCCCTTTAAATCTGGAACAATTGGAGTCTCTCCTGCAAACCAACGAAAATTTACAAATTTCTCTGGATAGCTACCCCGGCCAAATCTCCATACATTATCCTAAACATAAACTGTTTAAGGATACCTTCTATTTGGCCCCAAAATCCTACAAAAGCAAAACACCAATTAAAGATGCTCTCACAGTGTTCACTGATGGATCGGGAAAATCCCACAAATCAGTGATCACTTGGAAGGACCCGGAGAGTCAGAAGTGGGAGTCTGATATCCAAATCGTTGAGGGTTCCCCCCAGATCGCAGAACTTGCTGCAGTTGTGAGAGCATTCAAAAAATTCCAACAGCCTTTCAATCTAGTTACTGATTCGGCGTATGTAGCCGGGATAGCAGAGCGGGCAGAACACGCCATGCTCAAAGAAATTCAAAACAAAAAACTGTTTGGGTTGCTCACGGAATTAATTTGGCTGATCTCCCACCGCGAGCAACCCTATCACATAATGCACGTCCGGGCGCACACAGACCTGCCAGGAGCCATCGCTGAGGGTAACCGGAGGGCAGACCATTTAGCAGCGGTTATCGCCACAACCTCTTCTGTACATTCACTCACTAATACCATCCCAGACATTTTTGCACAGGCAAGGCTCAGTCATGCGTTTTTCCACCAGAACGCTCCTGCCCTTGCCAGGCAATTCAAAATCTCGAAGGAGCAGGCCAAGGCCATCCTCGCCACTTGCCCCAGCTGTCAGTCCCTCGCCCTTCCACCAGTGGCGTCAGGGGTTAATCCCCGGGGACTGGGAGCTTTGGAGCTGTGGCAGATGGATGTGACACACTACAATGCTTTTGGCCGTCTCAAATACATCCACGTGTCAATAGACACATTTTCAGGTGCCATCTTCGCCTCTCTCCATACTGGAGAAAAGACGAAAGATGCGAAAAAACACTTATTCATGGCGTTCGCGACACTGGGAGTCCCGAAGGCAATTAAAACCGACAACGGCCCGGGACTCACCTCAAAACAATTTGAACTGTTCTTGCAGCAATGGGGCATCAAACATACCACCGGCATTCCGCATAATCCCACAGGGCAGGCCATAGTGGAGCGCTCCCATAAAGAACTTAAAAGATTGCTCGATCAGCAACATGACGCGGCGTTGTCCATGACTCCGGTCGAGCGCCTTTGCAAAGCACTTTATGTACTGAATTTCTTAAACTGCACCGACCGTGAGCCAGACCCGCCCGTCATCAGGCACTTTACGAACTCCACGCGAGCACTTTTAAAGGAGCGCCCACCGGTCCTTGTCCGTGACCCGGAATCCCGAGCCATCACAGGGCCCTTTCCCTTAATAACCTGGGGGAGAGGGTATGCCTGTGTTTCAACAGCTCATGGCCCAAAGTGGATTCCGGGGAAATACGTGAAGCCATTCCTGGAAGATGCCCCAGCTGCAGAACCACCATTGTCACAGAACCCACCGGCTGCGTCCCCCACAACACCAGACGACGCAGTCGCATGGAAAAGACGACGAACGAAGAGGACTGGGAGCCGTCCCAACCTGGTGTCCCGAGTCCTCATCACCAGACTGTACCACTCACTGGACTCGACATCTAAAGATACCCCATCCCCTCCAGTTACCTTTCCCTTACCCCCTTACCTTACCCGCTTTCCCTATACCCCTGTGCCCTAAATTGTTCCCTTTTTAACCCAAAAGGGGGAGCTGGGAAGGGAGGGAACCAAACCTCTTCTGTTATTTACGTTTGTCTCTTGCGTTATTAGAATAAGGATGGCTGCCCACATGTCACCAATCCGGGAGAAACATCAGGAATCACCCCACTGCACCCAGCTGGCCGTCGCCGTGGCCTTCGTCATCCTGTGGCTACAAGCGGCGGACGGCTGGATTGTTCAGCAGCCGAAGGAGAACGTGTGGGTCACGCTTGCCAAGTCCTTGCAGCAGGACAATCTATGTTTGGCCATGGGCAGTGTGGACAACCCCTTGTCCACATGCCTGGTGGGGGTTCCCCTGGTTGCCGACGATTGGCCAGTTTTCAACTCCGACCTACTCCGAACCACGGGTAAGAGACCCAACCCGGTCGACACTTGGGACGAGTGGACCAAAATTTTGTCTAATAGCAAAGAGGAACCCCAAGAATTGGACCTGCTGGGGTCCTCTCACGCAGAATACTGCGTCAAATTTTATTATAGGAGGCCAAGTCAGAATTGGCATGGACTTGACTTGGCCAAGAATACGTATAGAAAAGACGTTACACCTTTGAGCAAAAAATATAATAGCCAAACCTGGTGCAATTACACCAGCCAGGTGGTTTCGGTTTCGTCCACACGTCCTAAGGTGTTGCCCAAGGGGATGTTTCTTATCTGTGGGGACAGAGTGTGGTCAGGCATTCCCTCTCGGCTCCAGGGAGGACCATGTAGCCTTGGCAAGCTTGCGACTCTAACTCCAAATAAAACCCAGATTTTAGAATGGAGGAAGGAAAAACAATTGGCCCGCAAGAAACGTTCATACGACCAATTCGATTCAAATTGTGATTCGCAGTTGTACAATTGGGGCAAGACCAAGAGAATCGCTGCGTCCATATTCCTTCCATGGTACGCAGCAGCAAAAGCCCTTGGTGAGCTTTCTCACCTGGAGTGCTGGGTAAACAAGAATGCCAACGCTACGTCGGCCGCCCTCTCAGACCTCTTGGCGGATGAACAGACCACCAGGCATGCAACCCTCCAAAATCGGGCTGCGATAGACTTTTTACTTTTAGCCCATGGCCACAGCTGCGAGGACTTTGACGGGCTTGTGCTGCTTCAATCTGTCATCGAGAAGCAAATCCATCCAGGCCCACATCCAACAGATAAGAGAGCAAGTAAAGGACTTAAAGACTGAGAACCCATCGGCTGCTGACCCTATAGACAAGACATTCTCGCAGTGGGGCATCCCCGGATGGGCAGCCCCCATCGTTAAAGGACTTATCTGGATCTTGGTTATTATTTTCCTTATTTTTGTTGCTTTAGCCATTTTTAAACAATATTTAGTTAAGACTTTCGGTTCTGCTTATTTAGTTAATAAAGACGGGGGAGATGTGGGAGGGGGTGTGGCTGGTGACCTCCCTGCATTGCCATGGGAGGCCACAGATGTGTAGTTTTCCCGCCTCCCAAGTTGTCTGTCATCTGTTCTCCCTTCCCCCAGTTTATGTCAATCATTTTGTACTCCTTCCCTTTGTTCTGGAAAGTTCTAAGTTCTTTGTACCCCCATTGGTTCCTCCCTCGAAACCACTCCTTCCCCCTATCCCGGTTGGCCGTTGCCATGTCACTCTCCGTTGACTCCACCCTCACACCCTCACCCGGTTGGATGCTCTACCCTCGGACCCTCCTACCCTGATACAGTTATATACCCTGCCCCGCCCTGGTTCGGGGCTCTCAGAGCTGGCTCGCCCTCTGAGTGGTTGCTTCCCTTCACCCTCCTCGCCTTCCCTCGATAAACCCTCGGAATAAAGCCGCCTGAGAGACTCCCGCCTCGTGGAAGATTCTCTTTATTACCATCATAGCGTGCCCGAAGTCCCCGACTCAGTCGGAGCGGACCGAGTCACGCTACAATTATTTTATTATTTATTTCTTTATTGTAGATTGCAAGCTTTGTTATCTTAGTTTGCCTGAATTTTGATTTCTGATTCTTATTGCCTCTAGCCTTATGTGCTTTACTGGATCATGACATAGCTTTTACACAAATTAAATGGATTTATGCTGTTTGAATTAATGATAAACTGCAGGCTTTTAAAGATTCAGAAGCCAATTTTCATTCACAGGCATAAAGATGGCCTAAATATAACTGCTAATCGAAGTTTTACTTCTGTAAGCATTTTGGGAAATTTCCTGAAATTGGACTAGTGGTGGGAAAAAAAAAGATGAAAAAAATTTTCAGTTCAGTTTGGGTAATAATAAAAAAGTTTGTGTCCTCTTTGACAAAATGAGACTAGATTATTAAAACAAATACAGTAAAGTGGTACGCTCCACTTTGAGTATCTTTGTGTATATTTCCTATGTAGATGGCATCTTAACTGGTGAATATACTTCACCACACAAGAAGTTCCTGGCCATGCAAATTCTAGGTAGTGAGAGATAGTGAAGGGAGTCTAAAAAAAAAAAAAAAAAAAAAAAAGAGAGAGGGAGAAAGTAAAATTCCCAAATATTTTTTGTTCAAAAATTTCTGCAGATCTGAGTTTGAAGAAATGGCTGTATATGAAGATATGAAAAAAGGGTTTCTTTGTCAGTTGTGGACTGTGTCCTTAATGAAGACTTTCCTACCCATATGAAAATATCTTGTAGTACAGAAATGTATTGTATTGCTGCATTTCTCTTCCATAAACTTTGCTAAAATACAGTGCAGAATCACAAAAATTTCTGTGTAGGAAATGGCCCCTGGAGAGCATTATTTCCTACCCTCTACTGAAAGCAAATTTAGTTCAGGATTTTCAGGGCCCTGTGACTATGAACTATTGCTCTTAATACGTGTGCAACTACTAAGTGAGGTATGCATTGCATTAAGGAGCAAGGAAAGCACTGCTTTGCAGATATACCATTGCTAGCATATGTAGCCTACTGAGTTATTAAAGAATAACTATTAGAAAGACCAAAAAATTTCTTCACAGTATGTCCTCTGCAGTTGTTTTCAGTCACAGTTGGACATTACTTGAATTTGAAGCTTTGATTTTCTGAAAAAAACAATTATCCTAATGAGATATATTTTAGCATAAATGTAGGTATGTATGAAAATTGTATGCATTATCCTTGAGAGAAAATCCTTGCATTTTTCATGTGCATAAAAAGTGGGATTAATTTTGACACACTTTTTCTAAGCATATTTATAAGATTTTTTTTCCTTTCACTTGACAATATTGGAAAATAAAATAATCTGATAGAAACATTGGAAGACTATGAAGAAAAGTAATCATTTTTATAGGTTGGAGTTTATTATGAGTGTTTTACAGGAAAGCTATCGGAAAAGTATGAAAATATAGCTGTGCTTGCAAAACTCTAATGTTCACTATTTGATTGTTGAGAAGAAAGTTAATTAAAGTAAAATTTAATGTGCTTGTTTCTGGAGGGCAGAAAAGCAACTGAATAATCTTAATTGTAACACAACTCTTGCCGGAAGAATAGTATGCTCTTTTAAAGGTAAAAATCTTAAAGACTTATAAACATTACAATAAGTCTTCTTATTTTCATCTTAGTAGGCTAACAAAGTCTTTTAAAATCAATATTAGTTAAAACAGACTACATTATATTAAGGACATAATCTTTTTTGAGACTCAGCTCTCAGGTGAAATGATGTGACATCAAAACCCTGAAACAGCATGGGCTCATCCTGAAATATCTAGCACTTACATTGGTAAAAACAGTGAAATAGGACATTATATGGAAAAATTTTCTTCTTAATTCAGTTGGAAAATAGTCTTGATAATGCAGAAGTATAAATTATATTTCGAGTACAACAAAAATTAACATAAATTTAAGAAATTGTTGCTTCGGTATGTATATAGAAATGAATATCAAGAAGGAATGCAGTAATTTAATTTTCAAAAGAAATTTAACATTGATTTCATCCATATGCAAAATAAGCTGGAGTGTGTTCTGTAGATTTTCAGCTCTGACTTGTTAGTAACAGTGGAGTAATTCCTAAAAATAATCATAATACTTTTCTGTGAACTTTTCAGTTGAAAAAGTAATATGTAGTCCTAGAAAATTAAATTTCAGAAAATTGTCCATTTAATTTCAGAAAATATTTTCCATCCTCTCTAGACAACTATGAAATCCATCCAGCTGACGAGGAGGTATAATCAAATATGAAAGAACTTTGTATAAGGTTTGTGCACACTGGGGCAGGGGAAGTTAGTTAAAAATACAAGGAAAAACTATTAAGGAGGACTTCCTTTGAATATAGCCAGTCAAGACAGAAACTATTCAGGACTTCAACCCTCTTTTAAAAATGTCACCTTTTCTTTTATTCCCAAACTTTTTCCAGCAAATTGATCTGAGAGTCAGGAATTAATTTTAATTATTCTGACTCGTCATTGTGGGAGTGAAATTACTCAGCTGGTTTTGAACATTGGTCATCCACCTTCTTAATTATCTAAGTTGGATTTATCTTTTCCATCACAGAAGCAGCATCAAATATCAAAAAATATTTTTAATCTGTAGATTTTTTTAGCTTCTGAGAGCAAGAATCTCTCTTTGAGCAACTGGAATTTTAAACAACTAGTGGTAATTTAATAATTTCCTTCATTATCAGACTCTCAATATGTGAGGAGAGGCATATTTTCCCTATTTATCTATTTGCAGAAAGGATATCTAATCATACAGCTATAATGCATATTTCAACTGGTTTAAAGAATCCTTGAAAGGGAAAAAAATAAAACAAACCTCTAAACAAATGTGATCTTTTGTAAGATGACAATGAAACACAAATAAAAATGAGTCCTTGATGTGCTCCACAGACATGAACAATATTACAGTATTAGAATTAATGTCACAGAACAGCTGTCAAACAAATGACAGCCAGGAAGCTCTGAAAGCTACTGATATGGGGAAGACTGAAGACAAGGGCACACGTGGTGGACTTAATATTCAGTGTCCTTTAGTTTTACCCTGTCTGCCTAGAAAAATTCCTCACTTAGAAGATTCTTAACTATGTCCAAATAAAGCTGAACATTTCAGTTCAGGAGCTCCTTTTTTTCCAGAGGATGCATTCTTAGAGGAAAATACATAGTCAGATGCACCTCAGTGGAGGGACCTGTAACTCATGTCTATACAAAATTTGGATTGTAGGGTCACGTTCAGGTTACCTTTCATAGACACAAGCCCTGGAGATTCCCTTCAGTTTTCGTTACAGTCATCAGTGTCAAATATAAAACATTCCTTAGACCATTTCTCTACCCTTTTAGTAGTAAACCTACCTTAGACATGCTGAAGTATTAACACATTTAGGTTTGGGTTTTTTGGTTGCTTTTTTTTTTGTTTTGTTTGCCTGTTTGTTTTGTTACTTATAAACTGTAATTTTGGAAGCATATTGTCTTCATTTTAGTCTTCAGATCACTCTTATTTTTAGGAGCACAATTTCTGTAAGATGGTTGCTTAGTTTTCACAGCTTTTCACATTGAAAATTATTTGACCACCTACCAATTCCTCTTATATACTCTCATACTCTCTCTCTACAAAGCTGTTGAAAAAGGCTAGAAAGCTGCTTAGCATAAAATGACTTTCCTGTTTCACTTCAGCTTTGTCTCTCCCAGCCTCCAACTCTCTCCACGTGGCTCATCTTGTGGTTCAGCCTTGTCAATGGCCAGACTATGAGGACTTCTGGGTACACTTTTTATTGTATGTCTCTTTTCAAGCTATGAGGCTTTTTTATTTGATTTGATCTTCTGTAGCAACGCAATGGTGAGGTGAGATGACAGAAGAATTCTGCAGCTGGTCTCCTATTCAAAAGAAGCCAAAATTATGTCTTCAGGGCACTATGACAATTTGAAAAACAGTGGTCATCATGACCAGGCATTACAACCTGCAGATGTCCAGCCTGAATAGATGGAATCCAGCAGTGCATTATCTTGAAGCACAAGTTTAGCATTAAATGTAAAGAAAGAAACCAAAATAATTGTTATGGTGGTCCTTGTTAGTTGTTCCTTCCCATATGTGGAGTTACAATAGGTTGTAAGTAATAATCCTTAATTAACAACCATGTCAATCATAAGATATTCTATATATGTTAAATAAAAGTACCAGTAAGGAACTATTTGAAGTTTGGCACAAAGCATAGACAGAATTCTTCATTTCATTTTTGCTTCAGTAATCCAATCTCCATCCAGAATCTATTTCCATCTTTCCTTCTGC